TATTAGAATGATTTCTGAAGGATCATGTGACACTGAAGTCTGCAGAAAATTCAGCTTTGTCGTCACAGAAATAAATGACATTTTTAAATATATCTAAAAATATGATTTAAAATGGTAATATTTTACAATATTACTGTTTCTACTTACTGCTGCCCTTTTGAGCTTGAGAGATTTTCTTTCAAAAACATTTCAAACAAATCTTACCACCCTCAAACTTTTATACAGTATGTTAAAAGAATCTCCTTTTCTTTTTATCTTGTATCTAAAGTTCTAAGATGACACAGTTTGAAACAGCATGAGTGAAATGTTCTCAAATGTGGTGTAAAGACAGAAAGCAAATGACTACATAAAGCAATACAATATAGAACACAGGCAAATAGCATCAGATACTCTCTAGTTCAAATAAAAATCACTTTTCTAATGTCGGTGCCACCTAATGACATAAAGAATGTATCTTACGGAATATATATTTATAAGGTGATGTTTGCACAAAATCGGAGTACATGAGGCTATGTTTTATTGTTAAATCATGTTTTGTGACATCTAATGCATAACAATATTTTACATAACAAATGAATCATTTTTACATAATAAGCAAAGAAGAGAATGTGTATGAATCAGTTGTGTGTGTGTGCCCTTAAAAGGTTTCACACTCTGTGTGGTTTGAGGAGCAGTAGGTGCAGTCACACTGTAAGGCCTGAGGGTAATGGTAGATTGGGGAGACGCCAGGGCGACAACCTGGTAAACGTGCTGTCAGGTGCCGTGTTCGGCTGAAGGTACAGACACGGTGGTGCCTCTGGATATACGGCGGTTCTGGAACCGGCCTCTGTGATAGATAGAAATGAATACGTATACACCACGTGTTCTCATATTTTTCTATAAATAAGTTGAATATAGCAGGTTTTGGTCACCTCCCAGGTGTGGCAGCGGCCCCAGCATGCCTCAGTGTTTATTCGCAGACTCCTGCATCCTGGCTTCTTTGCCACAAAAGCAAAATCACGTACCGCACAGCCACGAAAACTTTGCAAGGTCGTCACAGCCATGGCGGAATAAACCCCAGGAAACAGGAGCAGAAAGGTCACAGCAGTCACTAGGAAGTGGGCAGAGTACATTCTGAAAGAAATTATGAATAACAATAATGTATTTCATGAATAAAAAAAAGCCTATGTGCCTGCTGTTAAAGCATTAGATTTATTTTTATTTACTATTAATTAATGGAGAATCTCTGACGGATTATCAAGGATTCGTTGCCTTTTTCTGGCTACTATTTTCCCTCACCTGCTCCATTTATACCCCCAAAAAACACTTCAAAAACAAAAACTTATATATATATGACCAGCAGACGTCGCCAGCGTCTGGAATTCCGGGGGCTTTGAATTGTGAATCAGAATTCTGAAGAAATGAGGTAAAAAGCTTCAGAAATCCCCCCATTTCGACACACCAGGTAA